GAGACATCCGCACCAAGAGCCTCCGTGAGCTACCACGCCAACTAATGTCCAGATTATTGATCGACTACCAAGTTAGGCCAAAATCCTAAGCTTGGGGGAGTACGTGTTTCTCACCGACATTACATTCATGCCCACTTATTCATCTTGTCCGTGTTGCTTAGATTTATTTTTCTTACTTTCTTCTTGTCTGTTTGAAAAACTTTAGAATACCCAAAAAATTAGTTGTAGCTAGTTTACTTTCCATGCACGCTTAGTTGTAATATTAATATTAAAAAGAAAACCCAAAAAGATTTTCTTGTTCTTCTTTTGCTTGTTGGGAGCTTTCCCGCGTAAATAGTTTTTCTTGTTTTTGCTTTTTATTTGCTTGTTCAAGAAAACCAAAAACTCAAAAATTATTTTAGTATATTTCTCTGAATTTCTTTTCTTTTTATTCGAGTTGTACCGAGGAGAAGACCACGATGAAAATGTTGAGTGGCTCTCATTTGAGTAATTGTTGAACTAATAAAGAGCGCATTTTACCTTGTCTTCTTCTGTTGAATAAAATGTTTGTAGATTCTGGCTTAGTCCACGGCACTCATGAACTATTACTATTTTCGTATCATTCGGTCATGCAAGTTGAAGGCAATAATGACGACATTTGATGAACTGGCTGTGGCAGAGAGAAACTGGTATGAACTTGACTTGTTCTGTCTGTGTAAATATGTTTAACCTAGTATCTATGATTCAGCCCATTATGATTAAACATGTTTGCAATGAAAATTAGAGATTATAGTTTCTCATGCCATGCATAAGTAGCTGGGAGTTGATAATGATTTATCTTGGATATCAACATTACGTTAAAATGATTGTGATGTAGTATGATGATATGGTATCCTCCTCTGAATGTTCGAGTGGCTTGACTTGACGCATGTTCATGCATGTAGTTAAATCAAAACCAACATAGCATCTATGATATTTATGTTCATGGTGTTCATATCCTACTCATGCTACTGTCCAATGTTACTTATGCATAATGTACGGTTATGATCGTTGTTGCTTTATAGTTGGCCGCTTCTCAATCTAATTGCTAGCCTTCGCCTGTACTAAGTGGGAATTCTTCTTGTACATCAAAAACCTTGAACCCAAAGTTATTCCAGATGAGTCCATCATACCTACCTATATACGGTATTACCCTGTCGTCCTAAGTAAATTTGCATGTGCCACCTCTAAAAACTTCTAAAAAATTTATCCGTTTTGTGTGCCTGGATCGTTCATGGAACGACAGGAGGTGGTCGGTATCTTCCATGCTAAGCGGGTTATTCTCAGGTCGAGTGTTTATTCACTCGCCATCGCACGAGAAAAGGGCGGTATTAGGGATGCCCAGTCCCAAACTGCAAAATACAAAAGGAGTTAATCGCTCGAATAATCAAACAAAAACTTCCAATGGAGTCAAAACTTTTACTTTTATCGCTTGGGAACCGCCACTAGCTTGTTTAGCATGGGAGATATTGATAACTGATAGTCGTGAAGTAAATGAGAAGGGTGCATGCCTCAAAATATCATTTACCTCTGTTTTAAAAATTGAGCTCTGACACCTCTACAAATCATTGCTTCCCTCTGTGAAGGGACTATATATTTACTTTTATGTTGTGTCACCACCTTCTAAAATAAGCGCCGGAAACTGAGGGAGCACAGCTGTCATGATTTATGCATTATGTGTAGCTAATGTTGGGTGCATCATGACTGGATCTTTTCTACCATGAATTACAATGTATATTCGCTGCTTGAACTTTGGAGGTCCTCTACATTTATGTTTTGCGGTCTCAGAAAGGGCTGGCGAGATACCACTATTATCATATTATATCATGGTTGTTTTGACAATGTGTTGCTGTTTGAGATATCTTATTATTGCTCGCTAGCTGATTATGTCATTGATATGAGTTATTATTATCTTTAAGAGTTATTGTTGACATGGTTAGTTATAATGTTGGCTGAAAACCTGGGTGGGGCAAACAAGAGCAAAATAGTTCGTAAAAGTTTTTCTTTTTCACTTTCAGTTTATTAACTGAATTGCTTGAGGACAAGAAAAGGTTTAAGCTTGGGGGAGTTGATACGTCTCCAACGTATCTACTTTTCCTAACGATTTTCCTCTTGGTTTGGACTCTAATTTGCATGATTTGAATGAAACTAACCCCTGACTGACGCTGTTTTCAGCAGAACTACCATGGCGTTGTTTTTGTGCAGAAATAAAAGTTCTCGGAATGGAATGAAACTTTGCGAGGATTTTTATATCAATAATAAGAATTTATAGAGTCAAGACCTGTCGGAGAGGGGCACCTGGGTGGGCACAACCCACCAGGGTGCGCCCAGGTGGGTTGTCCCCACCTGGTGGCCCCACTAACCTTGAAACCAACGCTATAAAATCCTATTTTCGGAGAGAAAAATCAGGAAGAAAGAATTATCGCGATTCACGAGACGAAGCCGCCGCCAAGCCCTATTCTTCCTCGGGAGGGCAGATCTGGAGTCTATTTGGGGCTCCAGGGAGGGGTATCTTCGTTCTTCGTCGTCACCAACCCTTCTCCATCGCCAATTCCATGATGCTCCCCACCGGGAGTGAGTAATTCCTTCGTAGGCTCGCTGATCGGTGAGGAGTTGGATGAGATTCATCGTGTAATCGAGTTAGTTTTGTTAGGGCTTGATTCCTAGTATCCACTATGTTCTTAGAATGATGTTGCTATGACTTTGCCATGCTTAATGCTTGTCACTTTGGGCCCGGGTGTCATGACTTCAGATCTGAACGGTTTATGTTATCATCATTATATCCATGTTCTAGATCCGATCTTGCAAGTTATAGTCACCTACTACGTGTTATGATCCGGTAACCCCGGAGTGACAATAATCGAGACTTCTTCCGGTGATTACCGTAGTTTGAGGAGTTCATGTATTCACTATGTGTTAATGCTTTGTTCCGGTTCTCTATTAAAAGGAGGCCTTAATATCTCTTAATTTTCAATATGGACCCCGCTGCCACGGGAGGGTAGGACAAAAGATGTCATGCAAGTTCTTTTAATAAAGCACATATAACTATTTACGGAATACATGCCTACATTATATCGATGAACTGGAGCTAGTGTCGAATAGCCCTAGGTTATAACTGTCACATGATGAATATCATCCAACAAGTCACCGATCCAATGCCTACAAATTTATCTTATATTGTTTCTGCTAAGTTACTACTGCTATCATCATTGTTACACTTGATACAAAATTACTGCTATCACTGTTACGGTTATTATTGCTGTTGTCACTACTATCAAAACTATCATATTACTATGCTACTGATTACTTGCTGCAGATAATTAATTTCCAGATGTGGTTGAATGGACAACTCAACCGCTAATACCTTCAAATATTCTTTGGCTCCCCTTGTGTCAAATATATAAATTTGGGTTCAATACTCTACCCTCGAAAACTGTTGCAATCCCCTATACTTGTGGGTTATCAGTATGGTGGACTCATATGGAATAACTTTGGGTTTAAGGAAGTGGATGCACAAGCGGTATTCCTGCTTAGTACAAGTGATGGCTAGCAAATAGATTGAGGAGCGACCAACTAGAGAGCGACAATTGACATAAATATGCATTGAGATTAATCAACATTGAATACAAGCATGGGTATGATATAAAACACCATGAACATAAATATCATGGAGGCTTTGTTAGTTTTGATTCAACGACATGCGTGAACATGTGCCAAATTAAGCCACTTGAATCATTCAGAGAAGGATACCATCCTATCATACTACATTATAACTATTTTAAATGCATGTTAACACACATGATAAACCATTATCCACTCCTAGATATTAACCATTATCCGGAGAAGAAGGGGCAGCCGACATGCTTACCACAGCGGAGGAGGAGCACGCCTACGCCCACGCTTGCCGCGGGTCAGTGGAGGCATTCCTCCTCGGCGTCAACAACTAAGCCACTGCCTCCCTATCTATTAGATTTAAATTTATCTATGTATGAACCCTGGTGTGTTGTGATGAACTTTGTAGCGCCAGGAGCTATGTATGATGTATATTTTTAAATTTGCAGTTTGCGATAGCAGATCTGTTATGTCAGGGCGCATCAATTCCTGCAAAATCGTTTTAGAAGGAACCGTAAAATGATTTTGCGGGACGAGAATATAGTGCCTAGAGTTGCGAGAGGGCACCCCTGCACCCATGGGCATATGTACCCATTTTTTTAAAAATGCATTTTAAGCATGTTTTAAAGCGTCAAAAAATTAAAAAAAAATCACGCATACATGTTCACAAATATGTGCACACGGCACAAAGTTTTATGAAAAATGTCTTTTTGTTTTATCTCCACAAAAAAGATGAATTTCAGTGCTTCTAAATAGTGTTACACAACACAATTTATTGTCTTTTTTGCACAGGTCACAAAAAAAGTTATTTTTTCATGAAACTTTATGCACGCACATAGAACATGGAGACATACCCGTGCAACTTTTTCCAGATTTTTTTAGCATTTAGAAATGTGTTTTTCAAAGTGGATTCATATGTATCCGGGTTCATCCATGCACTTCCCCTAGAGTTGCTCCAATACGAAACACAAGTGGACTATCAATTATACAAGTGGTTCTCGAATAGCTTTACACGGATGCAAAATGCATCCACTGATTTTTCTTGGCTAAAGCTGGCCCTCCCAACTATCCTAAAAATGTAGCCCTACGTTCTCGTATGATATGTTACAAGCAGCCACACCTCCCTACCTATGGCCAAAACCGAAGGGACCTACTACATCTCCTACAAAAATATATGGTTGTAAGCCAGGGAACTACTCCAGAACACGGACACAAAAGAATGGCCGATGTCAGAAAAAAATTGTGGCCTGTCAATTGTGATCAGAAACCATCCGCGAGAAGCTCTCTGGCTCCTCTTTCATGGATGTTCTCAAACTTGCCGTTAGATGCCAGCAAGCAGTAGCCATCAGAACATAGAAGATCGTTCACCCTTACTCGTTGCAACAGTTTCCTCGCTTTGTTTTCTGGAATTTGTCCCAGAGGCACATCATCTGCCTTGGCTCCTGGTAGTGGGCAACCACATACCCATCCTCACAGCCTTCCACCAAGATCCTTCCGTCGTTCTGGTACGTGACATCAATGCCTTCCTTCCTCATCTCATTGATCCATATTCCCATCGCCACATCCTCCAGCTTGAACATCTGCAAGTCAAAATCGCCGGTTAATATTCCGCACCACAGCAGGGACAAACGGCTGGAGAGCATGGTGTTTTCTCTAAGCTGCCTTCAAGTTTCAGACTGAAGCAACTGAAGAGAATTAATTATCTCTGCTGGAAAAGAGGGTGCCCTTTTACAAATTTTAGAAGGGTGCATACCTTTAGCTCCCCTCTTTTGTGTTTCCTGTAAACTTCTTTTGCTATGTCCTCAGATACAATGTACCCTGGTCCATGTGCCCATGGGGGATAACTCTCTTCAGGCCATTCCTACATAAAGGCAGGTAACAGCGGAAACATTTGCTAAGCATCTGCTACATGATAAATGATAATGCACAATATACATGGCCGTCCAAAACACAGTAGTGGTGAAGTTTCCATCATTGGTTTGAACAAAAACTAAATTTCCATCGCGCAGATAAAGACTTTCCCTGTGCTAAAAACACGCTTGCATAATTGTGCAATAGAAAAAAATATAATTTAAAATGTTACCTCTGAAGTTATGTACCACTTGCTATACGGATCTCGGTGAGGCTGAGAATCAGAATTGACACGACCATACAGCAGTCCATGGCTGATATTTACTTGATGTAGGGACGAAAGTATCTCATCTACACGAACAAAAGCGTCATCATCGGTTTTCATAACATACTTGGCTGAAAGTACATTTGTCTGCACAAGAAAAGTGATGTCAGAAAATGCAGGCTGCAGGCAGAGTTCCCAGGGTTCCACTGTACTCCCAAATAAAAATCTACCCGCAAAGAAATTGAAGAAATTCTCCTCAAAAAGTATATACATACCCCATATATGCAAATGGCAATCGTCTTCCAAAGAATCAAGCTGTAATAATCAACAAATGGCATCAATTGGATGTCTCCATATGTCCGTGCTTCGTTCCAGAGCTCCTCGTTCACCACCTCATTTTTATGCTTTTATTTATCAAAGAAGCCAAAGGGGTACATGAGTATTGACCATGAAGTGAAGAGCGGTAATTCTAGTATACAACAGGACACAAGAAGAGTTTTGACAAAATTTCAAAGATTGTTTCTTGTGATGAGGGCTAAGCAAGTACACAGTGAACGCAAATGCAATCAACAAAGGAGAAAGATCTTCAATAAGGTGGTCATTGCACAGGCATGATACCCCCCACCCCAACCACACACAAAGTGAGGACTAAGCATGTTTGTTTGTGAGGAAAAACATGAATGGAGCATTGTGGTATGCAGCTCTACACCTATTATTTGACAAATGTACACATATTGCATTTATGTAGGTATAACTACTATATGGCATACAAATTACTGTAAGATATAATATCATGTGCCTTTCATCCTTACCAGGCCAACAAAGAACCGAACTGCGACTTTTCCTGAACGGACAGCATCGTACTGCATCCACGTTCTTCGAACCGCCATTCTGCGTTTAAAATTATTTGCTGTAGAGAATATCCCAATAAAAAGATCAATGGATTTATTCGTAGGGACAGGTGGAGCTTTCAATATTTCCAAGTCAGTGACATGCTCAAAGTCCTCTGTTGTAGGCAAGCCACTCGCTAGCACAGACAGCAATTTAATATCTCCTTCAATCCTTACTTCCCCAACAAACCCAGGCTCCAAATCCTGGTAAAAATGTGGTAGATTAGTAATAAGAACATACTTTGAAACATGGACAGAAAATAGTTCGATAATGAGAGTATGGAACAATAACTTTCACAGACCATCCGAAGACACAACAACAAAATTGTTACCCTGGCAAAATCAGTTTGTCTAGACACTGTTACAAAATGCAATAGCAAAACAAATATCTTATACACAACTCACCTCTCGAAATGCAAAGGAAGTGACATGTTTCCCATCTACAGTCATATGGATCCCCTCTGCTCCAACACGAAGAATTGCTATAGCAAGATATCCTTGTTTGAAGGGATAATATTTTTTAGGTTCTGCAGTTGTTTTCCTTGTAGGTTGCATGCTTGAAAAATTAGAATGTGACTTTGAGGCCAAGATCTGTTTGTGGGCTTTGCCCACCATGCTGCTACATTTTTCCAAATCGTCCACTGAAAAACAACAGAAAACAAAACTATATGTCAAGCCTGCCATCAAAAGAAAATACATATTGTTTACCAAGACCCAAATCCATTTTGTTCAACAGGTCTTAAGGGTACAAATAAGAAGTGTGCAAAAAAATAGACAGACATAGTGATATCAGATAATACAATACCTCAACACAGTACATATTTATGGTGGTACATACAGGGCCAAGTAACTTTTAACAAGGTGGATAAAATTTGCTGATTACAGAACCAGATTCTAGAAGGAATAACTCACATGCAATGCCAATACCATGCCATGGGTATTCACCATGATCCTACTATTGCTGATATGTCGTCTTTTTTATATTCTTTCAATTTGTTTTTGTTTGGCTATGTGCATCTTAGTTATGCAGAGGCCGGGTGACGCTCATTATGTTTTGTATCCGCTTGATGCTACATTTTGAGTCAATAAAAATGCCCTTTATCGAAAAAAAGAAATAATGTAAGATATGGACCAGAGAAAGAATGGATACCTTTTACACTGTCCTTAGCATCCGAATCAGAAGATGGGCAACGGTCTTCAGAACCCCAATCATCAGCTATAGTCCATGTATTTTGGACAATTACAGGATCTTCTGTAAGTTTATCACCAAGAAGACGGACATTGTAATGAAGCACAATTGGAGGGTCTGGTTCACCAGGGACTGCAGCTCCAGTTAAGTCTATCTTAAAATTACCCAGAAGACCACCAGGAGTGCCAATAATAGTTATCGAAGAGCCCTGAATAAGCCCACACGGAATTCTTAAGACAAATCTATCACCCACCCTTGTAACATTCATTCTTCTAATGGAATATGGGCATTGCTTCTCTTTGTCCTTATGCTGTGTGCTACCATTGAATGAAACAACTGAGTCATCATATTCAAGGGCTGCATTTAGCTTCCTCCATGCAACTCCAGCTTCCTTGATTGCATCCAATCCATCTGGTAGGATGTGGGCATTATTTACAAGGTCCCTCAGATGATTCCAAGAATGCAATGTCTGTATTTCTCTATCAGAGAGATTTCTTGTTATGGAAAGGTTGGAAGCTAGCAATTCAGTTGATATGACTTGAGAGAAGTTCTGTGGATTCTGAAGTGCAGGTGGGTTTGGAACATCTAACCAGTGTAGCTGTGCCGTGCTATTTTGTTGGAAGACATACTGAAGAGATCTTTCAGCAAGCGGGCTATCCAATATCACATATCTTAACATCAAGATTAGGAACAAACATACTATGACAGAACCACCGTGCCATTTCTTCATCACTCAAAACTGATATGACAAGTTGGTATGAGGGTCACGTTCACTGTATTTTCAGCCTAAAATATCACGCATCCATAGAATCTCAGTTCACAACTAACCCATCCAACTCAGCCAGTCAAGTCAATTCCTGCTGAACTGCCACCGTTGTTCAGTGCTCATCAACGCCTTGAAGGTCACACAAACGTTCCAGAGGTGTGATGAAAGCTTTATAACCGCATTAGCACACAGAAGTGTATCAGCGAAACTGAGGCGAGTCACTGTGTCCTGCAAAGGTAAAGGAGCGGTATAAAAAATGGACTCTATCCAGTAAAAGAACTAATGTGGTACTTAACCGCATTTGTATCCCCTTGTTGCTCCCTTTTGAGCTAATAAAATCCGGCCTTTATCGGAAAAAAAAAACCGCACTGAGAAGTGAATTGCATCAACGGCGTCACATAACACAGCTACACAAGGCTTGGAGTATATGATCATCCATGTTGCAAATACTATGGCATAAATAACAACATGATTACAGACATGTATGTTATGTTTTTTTGTGTGAAAAGTATGTATGTACAATTAGGATGTCAGAATCGATCTCACGTGGCAAACAAGCCTCATCTACTTGTAAAATACTCCAGCATCCTAAAATGGCTACAATAGATATTTGCCTTCATGTCACGGTGCCGCCAACGAGACTAGGACATCCCCTCGCCATAACATGATTACGAACTGGAAT